GTGTGGCTGTAACATCATTTGTGCTACACAAGAGAGAGCTTGTGCTATAAACCTAGGGGACACAGGGTTACTGTGTCACAGGATGGGCACAAAAGCACAATCCCAAGCATATCACCCCATGTGTGGCTTTCCTCCCAAGCAGATAAGTGGGGCCCAGCTAGGACAGGAGGATGCTGTGCCTTGGGCTTGGGTGGAAATCCAGGCACTTGAGCACAGCCTGGCCTGTGGGGATTGCAGCAGCTGCCACAGCCTTGGGGCCCAAATGCATTAGCCCTGGCTGGGCTCCCTCTGCTCCTGAGAGTGAAAGGCCCAGCCTGATTTTAGGTGTCTTTGTTGGGGTGTGGGCAGAAGAGGAAGGCAGTCCATTTTGCAGGCTGAGGGGACACTAATGTTTTGTCAAACAACACCAGACCCAGCTCACCACAGACCAGGGGCAGGCACTCGGTCCAGCAGGCTGCATTGGAACCACAGCAGATTCCACTTCCCAGCAACCCCTGCTGTGGCTGGTTTCCATGGAGATCCCAGCAGTGTCCCTGCTGTGACAGCACTGGGCCAGGGTTTCCATGGAGACCAGCCCCAGCAACACTAGGTGGGCTTGTGGCAGAGCAGGGAGTGCTCCAGGGCTGGGATCTTATGACAATGACAGCATAATCCAGGGCCTGGGCAGAGCTGTGATCCACTATCTGCACACCCTGGGCAGGAGCATGTAGGCAGTGGATTGCGGATCTGCCCTAGCTCTGGACCTCACTATCACCACTGCAAGATCCCAGCCCTGGCTGTGGAGTAGCTCCCTGCTGCTGGGGCTGGTCTCCATGGAAACCCTGCTCTTATAGTGCATCAGCTGCTGGGGTGTCTATGGAAACCAGCCACAGTAAGGTGGCTGGATTCCATTTCCCACCAGTCCCTGGCCTTCACCTGGATCCACTGTTTTGCCCACTCCTGCCTCTTGACACTTTGTATAGCTTCAAGCAGTCCACAACCCATGTTCTGTGCCTGCTGAAACTTTGCAGCTTTAAAGCCTGCCTTGGCAGGCTTCTTGCTGCTGCAGCCAGTCTTCAAGCTGTTGCTAATCCATTTTTCTTCACAGGTCCCCTCCACTTACAATGCTGCTTATGTCTGCAAGCAAGTTCTCTGAAGCTCCCACCCTCCTCCCTGCAGGCATTGCCACCTTTCTGACCAGTGAAGCCCTAACAGCTGGTGCCACAGCACCTGTCAGCCCCAATGCCAAGTCCCTTGGAAGCCCAAGGAAAGAGCCTGGCAAGAAGCCAGTGAATGCCATTGATTCCTATTTCCAGAGGGCAGCAGAGAAGCAGCAAGCCTGTGCTGCTGCAGGGCTCTGTGTACCTGCTGTCATTGGTGCAGGCTCACTGTTGCCTTGTCCTGATAGACACCAGGACCTAGAAGATCCCAATCTCAACACAGTTCAGAGTCCAGAAGCCATTGTGAAGCAAAGCCCCAAGGGGGGCAACTCTCCCTCTTCTAAGCCACTTCCTTGTGAAGAGTCATCTGGTGCTGCAGGAACCCCCTCTGCTGCCCTAGTGCCCAGGACCACCCTGAAAGCGGAACCAGAAGCTGCTTCAGAACAAGCTGCTGAGTGGAAGGAGGGGAGTTTAGCACCTTCTGGGTGTGGCCAGGCCCCCCGCACTTCTCCAGGGGACCAGTTGCTCTGTGAGAAGTGTGGCCAGCAGGTGCTGGTTTGGGACCTTCCAGAGCACATGGACTATCACTTTGCAGTGGAGCTGCAAAACTCCTTCACAGAGCCCAGCTTCCCTCACACTTCCCCTGTGCCGGCTCGTCCTTGTGCCATGCCTCTCAGTCCTGCCAATGGCAAAAGCAAGCCCAAGACCCCCACAGGCTCTAGCGCAAAGCGACGTAGACAGGGAGTTACCAGGACTCTGGACTACTTCTTTAAACGGCTGCCACCCTAAGCCTGTGCCCAGCCAGGTGCTCCAGAACAATTTTAGAAGGAACTGATTTTGGTTTTTAAAGTTTTTTTTTTTTTTTTTTATCCTGTCAATTTATATCTAA